CCTTAAACAGGTGCTCCCTTAGAACATCATTGATTAATTGCATAAAGACTGCAGGGCCCCCTTGTAATCCAAATGGCAAGACTTTGAATTGATAGCATCCCATGGGGCAGTTAAATGAGGTCTTCTATTCGTCCCCTTCCTTAATTCTCACGCGATAGTAAGCTTCCCTTAGGTCTAGTTTAGAAAAAATTTTCCCTTTCGAGAGGTGTGACAGCATGTCTTTCATGAGGGGCAGAGGGTATAGGTTGCTTTCAGTGATTGTATTCAGGGCCCTATAATCCACGCATGCGTAAAGAGCCATCCTTCTTCTCTCTAAAAAGGACTGGGGCAGCCACTTTAGGCTTCACTGGCTCAATGAAACCTCTCTCTAGGTTTTTTTTTATGAATCTTTCCATTTCCTCCTTCTCCTTTGGGCTCATGGAGTATAATCTGGGCTTCGGGAGTTTTGCCCCAGGCTTGAATTCAATGGTACAGTCTGTGGGTCGGTGGGGGGGGAGCTCATTCGCCCCCTCCTCACTGAAAACCTCAGCAAGGTCTCTGTATTTCTCTGGTATTTCTGTTAGTCCCTTTTCCTCTCCCATGGATGCTTTTTCTATTCTTGATTCTGGTAGCCCCCCTTGGGGTTTTAAGTCCATAGGGTCCCCCTTCGGGAATTTGATTTCTGTCGTCCTCCAATTTACCCAGGGGTTCCATTTTTTTAACCATTCCATCCCTAGGATCATTGGGTATTCCATGCCAGGGGTCACCACAAACGTTATGTCCTCCTCATATTTGCCCAGGGAGAGGTGTTTGCCTAGGGTAGGTGGCACCCCCCCCGCTATGGATCCATCTAACTGGCCAAATGAGATTGGTTGTTCCAGTCTCCTCGATGGAATGCCCAGATTCCCCACTAGTGTCGGGCTAATGAGACAGCGGGTGCAGCCAGAGTCTATTAAGGCTTTCACCTTTACGGCTTCGGGCATGGGGGGAATTAATATAGTCACTGTTTGAGGATGGGTGCGATGTGTGCACTTACCAGGGGTTCACCCTCCGAGCTGTCATCTGAGAAGTCCACCGGCCCTGGGGTGTAGGCTGGAGTTCTTTCCCCTTGGTGAGCAGAAGTGGGGGGTTCCGCAATTTCCATCATTCTCATGGCAGTTTCTTTTGGCTTAGCTGAAGACTTTCCGGATTTGCTGATTTGGGATCTGTCTGGGTTGTGCTGGGGGGCTTTGGAGCGGCATTCTACAGCTCGATGCCCTTCTCTTCCGCATTTGAAACACCCCATTTGCTTCTTGGCTGTAGCCGATGGTTTCACTGATTCGTGTGTCAACTCAGGCAGGGGGCGGCTCCATTGTTTTCCTCAGCGGTGGCTCTTCAGTAGGTCGATCTCTGCTTCCTCTGCCAAGATGTACCATTCCTCAAGTTGGTGTGGGTCCCCTCGGGGCAGGCAAGCGTCATATAGGTCATAATTTAGTCCATCTTTGAAATGACTAAGGAGGATGTCTTCTGGCCAATTCAGTTTGCTGGCAATGACCCGGCATTCTTGTGAATATTCAGCCACCGGGCCTTTGCCTTGCCTCATCGTTTTTATCCTTTCGCGGGCTTTGCGATCAGCCAGGGGGTCTTCAAATCGTCTTCTCAGAGAGGACATGAAACGGTTGAAGTCGTTGAGTTCTGGGGCATTGGAATCATGCAAGTTCACCACCCAATCTGCAGCCAGTCTGTTCAGGGCAGATTGCATGATCCGGATGCGGGCTTTGTCGCTGGGGATGTCCCGCCCGTATTCCTCCATGTAGCTGAGGACTTGGGTTAGGAAAAACCCGAAGCGTGTTGGCTCCCCTTTGAATTTCACCTCCAACGGCGGACATCTTGGAATGGATCGGTGCCTCCGTTGTCGTTGGTAGTTTCTTCCATCCAGATTGCCATCTGTGGTTCGGTAGGGGGTGGGGGCTCCTGGATCAGTAGATGTCCCTGGGGTTGCAGGTTCCACTTCCCCCTCGGTGTCTCTCCCTTTGCGGCTCCAGGAGCTGGGGCAGCCATAGGGCTCAGGATTCTCCTCTCCTAGGGAGCTGAGAGTTCTCTTCATCAGGTCAATAGCTTTCTCTAGGATCCAGTCTGAGTACGGTGCCCAGCTTTCTCCCTCTTCACTTGTGTGCAGGGATTTTTCCATCTCCTGCTTCCATTCTGGTTACTTGGCCCTCCCGTCTCAGGGTCACCTTTCTTAATTCCTTTCCCCACTCACTTTTCTTTCCAACTCCCATTGACCAGTGAGGCTTGTGGTCCCCTGTCTCCACCACTTCTTCTCCTGAGGAATCTGACCTCTCGGATCCCAACATCTGGCAAGGTTCCAATTGGGTCAGCGGCTCTCTTTCCAGGGAGTTTTCCCCCTTTCTTGCTCCATTGTCTGACATGGTAATTTTTTTTTTTTTTGCAAAATCCCCCGGCAAGGGTCTCCCTTCCAGGTGGATTAATTTTGCAAGTCTTGTCTAATGTAAGGACCCACCCCACTTTTCATCTTAAGAAGACAAAACTCTTGGAATAATTCTTCCAACAGGAATCCTTTATTAAGAGAAAATGGTTGCAGGCGTTCTAGACAGGACTTGGGGTCCAAGCTCTCCCATTCAAGGTTTTAAGGGGTTCCCCAGTAGCCCCACCCAATCACCCCCCTCCTCCAGCGACAGTCTCAGGCATTACATTCCCACCCCCTTTTTCTTACTGCTGGCTGGATGGAGACGTCAAAGAAAACTACATGAAAGGTAATAGTCCCATTCTTATGGTTAGATCTTTTGGCAATACACACAACCAGTTCCTTTGAAGTATACTGAAGGAAGTGAGGGCCATAAAGGCCCTTTGTTCACCCCCTTCCCTTCATCGTATGGCAGAATCCATAGAAGGCAGAAATGGGGTTTTTTATAATTGATAACTAGAGATGAAATATAATTGGATTCTGACACTACCATTCAATTGCATTTATTTTACACTGTAGCAAGATTATGCTCAAAATCTTACAAGCTTGGCTTCAGCAATATGTGAACTGAGAACTACCAGAAGTACAAGCTGGGTTTTGAAGAGGCAGAGGAACCAGAAATCAAATTGCCAACATTCACTGGAGAAAGCAAGGGAATTCCAGAAAAACATTTGCTTCTGCTTTATTGACTATGCTAAACTTTTGATTGTGTAGACAACAATAATCTGTGGTAAGTTCCTAAAAATGTACCATACAGAAGCCTGCATGCCAATAGGTCCACAAGCAACATTTTGAACCAGACATGGAACAATCAGTTGGTTCAAAATAGCGGAAAAGATATGACTGTATATTGTCACTCTGCTTATTTAACTTATATGCAGAGTACATCATGCAAAATGCCAGGTTGGATGAATCACAAGCCAGAATTAAGATTGCCAAGAAAAATATCAACGATCTCAGATATGAAGATGATACCATTCTAATGGCAGAAAGTGGAGTGGAACTAAAGAGCCTTTTGATGAGGGTGAAAGAGGAGAGTGCAAAAAGTTGGCTTGAAACTCAACATTAAAAAAACTAGGATCATGGCATCTGGTCCCACCACTTCCTGACAGAAGGGAAAGAAATGAAAGCAGTGACAGATTTTATTTTCTTGGACTCCAAGATCACTGCAGACTGTGACTGCGGCTATGAAATTAAAAGACATTTGCTCTTTGGGGGAAAAGGTATGGCAAACCTAGACAGCATATTAAAAGCAGAGATATCACCTTGCCAACAAAGGTTCATATAGTCAAAGCTGTGTTTTGACTATATGGACTAGGAGATCTGGATCATAAGAAAGGCTGACACCGAAGAATTGATGCTTTCAAATTGTGGTGTTAAAGAAGACTCTTGAAAATCCCTTGGATTGCAAGATCAGATCTGTCAATCCTAAAAGAAATTAACCTTCATTGTTCTTTGGAAGCACAATACTGAAGCTGAAGCTCAAATATTTTAACCACTAAATGAGAAAAAAGGACTCATTGGAAAAGACCCTGCTGTTGGGAAAGATAGATGGCAAAAGAAAAAGAGGATGGCAGAGGATGAAATGGTTAGATAGTGTCATTGACACAGTGGGCATGGGTTTGAGTACCAGGGCATTGTTGAAGGAATTAAAAGCCAAGGTTATTAAAAGTGCAGGAAAGGAATATAGAGTTGGCTTATTTGATGAAGGTTAAAATAGGTATGTAGTTAATGGACCTCTGCTGACTAGATATGAATAACAAGGCTTTAAGAAATATGGAAAGAACAAAGCATTGCTGTTTTAAGAGATGGTGATAAGCTATGAAGGGGTAAGTAACTTTTTAATATTTTGTTCTTTTTGTACTCCCTATTTTTTATTTTTATAGTTTGTATTAGTTTTTATTTTTCTTAATTGTAATGTTTAATAAAAATTATTATAAAAAAGAGAAAAAGGTGCTTATGATTTATGAGTTTGTAGATTAGAAAAAGTAGCTTATGGAAAGAGGGAAAATATGAAATAATTTTCTATAGATAGGGTAAAATATAAATGCATTTATAACTGCTGTTAAAAAGATCGGAAGCTGTTTCTTAAAATCCTTTTTCATTTCTTTTTCTAATTTTCTTAGGTATTTGCTATTGTTATTTTCCTTATTTCTTTTCTAATATCTGTATTATCTTGTTAAAAATGTTCTCAATAAAGATTATATTTACAAAAAGAGTCTCTATTCCTGAGAAATCCCTATGGAGGTTTGATATTTTCCATTGATCTGCATTATTCTGCCATTGTTAAAAAAATATTTGTACATGAATATATTTCAGATGAATGCCAAGGATTCTTTGGAGTTGCATTTCAATAGCTACTGTTCAATATGCTGAACTTTCAGAAAAACATATAAGTCTGAATATATGCTATTTGGCATACATTCCTATTAAAACATCATCATTCCCATTAAAAATACCATTGTCTATCTGCATTTATTTATTGAGATAGTATATATCCAGTTAGAATATGTGCAATCAGAATGCATTATTTACATTTGTATTTCTTAATTAGTTGGCTTCCCGAAGCTCAAGTCATTCAGAAGGCTTTGAATTCAGCTGCTACTAATGTTTATCAGTATGGACGAGAATGGATAACACATAAGGTAATGATGAGATTCCTCTTTGGAGATTAATGTTCTACTGCTTCTTACTTTCTTTTCAGAAAGATTCATGACTGCAAAAATAAACTTTGATCAATATTTAATATTGACAGTTTGCAAATAGTTTGTCTTTAAATATTAATGAAAAATACCTTTTTTGCTATTATTTATCAGATTTCATAGTAGTCTGCAAAATAAAACTATAAAAATTATGTTAAAAATAGATATATCAAATTATCTAGATTAAAACTATAAACTTGTACTTGTTATTAAACTATAATTTGTAAATGTTAAATAAGCTTTTTTATTCTTCTCTCCCTTCTAATTCATTATGAGATCAGGTTTTAACAGTTATTTGTTTATCTGCTAAGTCCAATAAAAGATTTGCACAAGCTTATTTGGAGAATATACATTAGTCTTTATTAAGCAGTATTAATTGAGCAAAAAACCCTGTTGGTTCTGAACATAATGCAGTTCTGGATTTGATAATCTAAATTCTGTTACTCTATTTGTTCCCTTTATATACATTCTGATTACTGTCATGATTTAATTATATCAACAAAATCCATAACAACTGAAATGATTATTGTTACAATTTAAATACTATTCAAATGCTATGTAATGTTTTCAGACTGAATGATAATATAAAACATTTTCTTAATAAATAAAGGCCCTTGAAAAAATATATATTAATTTTTGTAAATCTATTTTTTTTCAATATTTGCAATATTTCTAGCAAGTGAATGAATAAATGGGATGAGCATTTTTCTACCTAAAATCATTTCTTTGATTAATGGGTATTTAGTAAATATAAAATACATAATCAGTCAGTGTTACTTTTCAAATATTTTGACACATTTTTTATATTTTATAGCTTGATAAAATATTAGGAGAAAAAGTAAATAGTACTGCTATGATTGAAAAGCAAGTTCTGGAGCTTTGGGACAGACTATATCATTCTTGGTGTGCAAAAGTGAGTATCTTTTTTTATATTGCCAGTATATTGATCCACGAAAAATTACAGCATAATATTTTGTTAATAGTTACAAAGTTAAATTTTAACTGATATGATTATGTGAATATCTCTTTCAATATGCACGATTCTGTTAATGACCTGGGTGCTTCCAATGAAGGGACTACGAAAACATACACATTGCTACAGTGACATCTGAAGCATACCTAACAATTATTGATTTATATTGAGTTAGCAATAAATATGACAATGTATAACAAGTGATGTTGGTGATTGGATATACCTATTTTTTTCTTTCCTAGGGACAGTCTAGCTCAGGGGTGTCAAACTCAATTTCATTGAGGGCTGCATCAGCACTGTGGTTGCCCTCGGGGGCTGGGTGGGTGTGGCCTACTGGGTGGCGTGGATGGAGTGGGTGTGGCCTACTGGGTGGGCAAGGCCAGCTCTACATCGTTTGCATTGTAGGGGCCTGGGCAGGAGTGGGACAGATCTGAGGGTCTCTGGCAGAATGGGGTAGGACCAGGGCAAGCGCCAAGGCACGGTCTATTTCTTCATTTGTCACAAAGGGTGACACCTCCTTAGCATGCACCCAGGGGGTGGAATCGACAAAGCAGGGGCTGGATCCTCGCTGTTTCTAGACGGCCTTGTGGAGCTAAGACTGAATGTGTTTCAGCATAGATGGCCACCACAAAATTGTACAGTGGCTCCCGGCCGGCCAGGGCCAAGGCAGCAGGGGCCGTTCCCTCACTGTTTCCAGGATGACTTCGCGGGCCACATGAAACCACTTTGCAGGCTGAATCTGGCCCCTGGGCCTTATGTTTGACATGTCTGGTCTAGCTACATGAATCACATGCTATAAACACAAATCCGTGTGAATCTTGTATTTGAATGCATTCTGTGTGGATCTGTCTTTTTGCTTGGTCTGAAAGTGCAACTATTGTAGAATGTGTGTGTAAGGACCCACTTCAATCCCACATCTTAAGGAAGCAGAACTCTTGGAAACAATTTCTTCCAACAGGAACTTTTATTAAGAGTAGTTGATAGCAGGCATAATAGACAGGATCTGAGGGATTTCTTTACAGATCAATTACTTTAAAGTGTCCCTAAGTAAACCCCACCCCACAGTTCATCCGGATGATTCAGACCGGCCAATCCCCAGGTGTTAATTCCATCGTGGGAAAGGGGAGATAACATCAATCTGGCTCGTTTCTAGTGTGATGTTCTTTTTGATAACGGAGAAATAAGCCAGGTTCCGGAGATTTGTACTACTTCCCCTCCCTTTTCCTAGCTGCCCGGTTAGGGAGAAGAAGGTTCAGAGAGATGCATAGGAGGGATAGGGATAGCAGACACAGAGTCAGTAAACAAAAGGTTACATTGTAGCAAATAGAGGAAGGGAAAGCAATAACCCCGCAGGCACATCCCCCCCTTCCCCTTGGGAGTATGGCGGAACCCAGGGGAAAATGAGATTTGTTTTTAGGTCAGAGGGGATAGGTAGAAATGAAATAGGAATGGGTTCTGACATCCTACCCCCCTTAAAAATAAGAGAGATCCACCTATAGAGAAAACAAAACAGGTATAGAGGTTAGTCTGGTTTGTTGGGATATTCTGTATGAAACGTCTTTAGCAGTTTCGGGGTTCTGACATGATGTTTATGGACCCACTTGTTTTGTGAGGAGGGAAGGTGTTTCCATGCTACTAGGTATTGAGTTGTCCCCTGATACTTCCTAGAATCTAGGATTTCTTTTATCTCGAAGTGTTGTTCTCCTTCAACCATGATTGGAGGTGTGTGTGTTTGTGAGGGGGGGGAATTTTTGGCCATAAGGATGACTGTTGTTCTCTTTTCAGCAAGCTGCAGTGAAAAATTGGGTGTATTTGCCTGAGATTTTGGGATAGTTCTAATTTTACTATTACTGGGTTTATGATTCTTTTAATTGGAAAAGTTCCTATATATTTTGGTCCAAGGGTAAATACCCACTTCAATCCACATCTTAAGAAAGCAGAACTCTTGGAAACTGTTTCTTCCAACAGGAACTTTTATTAAGAGAAATTGATAGCAGGAATGATAGACAGGATCTGAGGGATTCCCTTACAATTCAATGTTTTAAAGTGTCCCTAAGCAGCTTCCCACCCTGCAGTTCTTCCAGGTGATTCAAACCAGCAGATTTCTAAGTGTTAACTCCAGGAAAGATAACATCAATCTGGCTTTGTTGGCACGATCATTGAACATCTCCTCACACAGATCCCAGAGGCTGCATCTTTTCACACACACCCTTTTCCTTGCTGGCCAGTAAGGAGGAGAAGTTCAGAGGGGCATAGGATGAAAGGCAAATGGTTACATTGGGATGGTTAACTGACCCGAAGCGAATCAACAAAAGGTTACTTTGTAGTGAATAGAGGAAGTGAAAGTAATAAAAACTCCATGCATACCCCCTCCCCCTTAGTAGTGTGACAGGATCCAGGAGAGAGTAAGAATTGGTTTTATATCAGAGAAGATAGATAGAAATGAAATATAACTGGATTCTGACATCCTGTCCCCCTTAAAAATAAGAGAGATCCACCTGTAGAGAAAACAAAACAGGCATAAAAGTTAGTCTAGCTTGTTAGGATACTCTATATGAAACTTCTTTAACAGCTTAGGGGCTCTGACATGACGTTTATGGACCCTCTCGTTTAGTGAGGAGGGGAGGTGTTTCCATGCTACTAGGTATTGAGTTGTCCCATGATATCTCCTAGAGTCTAGGACAGCAGTTCTCAATCTATGGGTCGCGACTCCATTTGGGGTCGAACAACCATTTTACGGGGGTCGCCGAACAACACAATCAGCCATTTTTCCCCCTCAGAGGGCGGCGCCGGGCATGCGCGCCGTACATGGGGGCACCGCCGTGCATGCACACCGTGCATGGGGGCCTGCCGCACATGGGGGCGCCCCCCGCATGCGCGGTGCGTCTGTGTGACGGGGGTCGCCGTCACACAAAGGTTGAGAACTGCTGGTCTAGGATTTCCTTTATCTCAAAGTGATGTTCGCCTTCCACCATGATTGGAGGTGGTGGTGGGGGGGAATTTTTGGCCGTAAGGTTGACTGTTCTCTTTTCAGTAAACTGCAGTGAAAAATTGGGTTTATTTGCCTGAGGTTTTTGGGTAGTTCTAATTCTACTGTTACTGGGTTTATGATTCTTTTAATTGGAAAAGATCTTATATATTTTGGTCCAAGTTTTTTACAGCGTTGTAGGGATTTTAGGTATTTTGTAGACAAATATACCATTTCTCCTATAATGAATGGTGTGGATGCAACTCTTTTTTTATCTACTTGTGCTTTGTATGCTTACCTAGCTTCGTCTAAGGATTTTCTAACTATTGGTCAGGTGTTTTCTAATTGTTATATCCATTCTTTCAGTGATGGAATTGCCGGTTCATTTGGGATTAGTTCTGGCATAGGGCTAAAACTTTGATCGGTAGCTATTTGAAAAGCCTGTACTGAAGTGGACTGCGTTATTGTAGGCAACCTCTGCAAAAGGGAGTAGGTCCGTCCAATTAGTTTGCTGGAAATTAATAAAGCATCTTAAGTATTGCTCAAGTACAGAGTTCGAGCATTGTGATTGGCCATTACACTGAGGATGATGACTAGATGATAGTCCCTGAGTGGTTCCTAAGAGGGATAAAAATTCCTTCCAAAATTCTGACGTAAATTGCATTCCCTTATCAGATATTATGTGTTGGGGTACCCCATGTAGTCTGTAGATATGCTGCATGAATATTTTCGCTAATGTTTTTGTTTCCAGGGGGCTGAGGGATTTGTCACTGGTGGTAATAGTCCGGGCGATTTCCATTGTAATCTCTTGGCAGTTGTGCACGTTGGGCAGCTGGCCACGTAACTTTATATGTTCTTTTTCATGGACGGCCACCAAAATTGCCTTTTAATTAAATGTAAAGTTTTTACCAATCCAAAATACCCTGCTGATTTTGTGTCATGGCATAGCTGCATGAAAATGACCCTTTGGGTGGTTGGCATACATAACCCCCCCCGCCCATGGCAGTTCGTCTTTGATTGTGCACATGTGTCTATTTTGCTGGAACCATTCATCTGTTTCTAAAATTTTCCGGAATTTGATTTCAGTTTGGCTACCCAGCTGCAGCTTTAATTTAGCTTGGCCTCTGGTGGTTATTGGTGCTGCCAGTTGTGGTTCAGGCATGAGTGGTTTAGAATTGGTGGCTCGCATGCTGTTATATTGGGGCATGCGAGAAAGTGCATCTGCCAGGAAGTTCTTTCCCCCCCCTCCCGGCAAGTGCTTAAGCGTGAAACAGAATTGGTGAAAATGCTGGGACCAGCGGGCTTGCTTGGGAGTGAGGTTCCTGGGTGTTTTTAAGACTTCGAGGTTTGAGACTGAAAGATAAAGAAGACACAGACTACTATCAAATTTGGGACATATTTTATTGTTGGTTAGAGGAAAGAATGAAGGATTAGGAACTGAATATGTATTAGTATAGCTAATCCCAGACAGCTCGTTGATTGGAAAAATGAACATATGTTTATGAAAAAAAAACCAATAAAATTTTTATTAAAAAAAACGTCCAGGTTTTGTGGTCTGTCCAGACCTAAAAAGGGATCTTATTCCCTTCAAAGAAATGGCGCCACGTGTGTAATGACCAACACACACCGTATGCCTCCTTTTCCCACATTGCCCAATGCTGTTCCATTTCAGTGAGTTTCTTGGATGTGTACGTGCACGGTTGCAATACCCCTTTGTTGTTTTCTTGTAATAATACAGCCCCCAGTGCCACATCGCTTGCGTCCGCCTGTATTACAAAAGCTTTATCCGTGTCTGGGTGCCTCAGTATGGGTTTGACAGAAGAAAGTCTCTTTAAGCTCTCGAATACCGCTTGGCATTCTATTGTCCATTCTAGTGGCTGGCTGGGTTTCACTGAGGAATCTCCCTTCGTTTTTAGTAAGTTCGTGAGGGGCAGGACTATTTGGGCAAACGAAGGGATGAATTGGTGGTAAA